TAAATTGGCTCTAGGTAAATGTGTATGACTGTGTGTCTTCCCTACAATGGACTGGCAGCCTGTCCAGGGTGTTTCCTGCCTTCCATCCAATGAGTAGGGGCTTCACTAGGTCAATATATCCATCTGGAAAAGCACTTGTTGACAGGGAACACTTTACAATAGTTAAAACATAATTTTGAAAACAATCAAAAGTCATCTTAAGGAGGGAAGAAGGAAAAGGGTCATAATCACATGTCGATAAATCTAATATATACATTTAAAACAGTTGTAAGCTGCTGAGGTGGCTTATCTGACTAAAATGAATAGCAAGCTCCATGTAAATTTTAGAAGATAAATCATCTGTATGCAGTTGCTGCTGCAGCCACTTTCAGGGGAACAGTTTTAATTTTTTCCCTCAGAACTGTCAGCGTCTGAGAGATCAAGTGCTCGGCAGGGAGTAGATGTTCATTCACTGGAGCCAGTGTTTGTGGAAAATGTCTGTAGTGGTGCTATGGACCATCACGACTGGACACACCCCCTGCTGACATGCACACATGTTTAGATTTTTGCCAACTACTTTATTGTTAGCAAGCTGATTCAACATCTCCAATGCAGCTTATATAACGTTTTGGTTGTAGTTATTTTAACCTATTCATTGACTGATCACTCAGTAGATGTTAGCTGAACAAGAAGAAACCTTGAGAGGAACCAAGACTCTGAAGGGGAACCCATCCTCCTCTGGTCGACACCGGATACTAAACATTGTTAGTATAAAGTATTGTAGTACAAAAATGGGGAAAACAGGTGGAGCAAATGATTAATTTGATTAGTATAGTTTATGCAGCAGCAGCAGCAGCAGCATCAGCATCAGTGGGGTCAGGTCTGTGTGTTTATTTTTCTTTGCCAAGTTGAACAGCTGCCCATCCTGTGCGTCTGCCTTGATTGGGTGCCACTGCTCGCCTGTTTCCCGGTCCAGTCTGACCACCATGAAGCTTCCTCCTGTACAACGCTGTGCAAACCTCATCTGAATGAACTGACCTTTCTCAGGATGCTGCTGCATTAAATCATAGACATCACTACTCCTGCTTTTGCTTTCTTTCCGTATCTTCTATTAATGGTCAAATCTCATTTTCTTCTGTTATTGTTTACTATCCGGTGTCGACCAGAGGAGGATGGGTTCCCCTTTTGAGTCTTGGTTCCTCTAAAGGTCTCTTCCTGTTTCTCTTAGGGAGTTTTTCCTAACCACTGTTGCCACTGGCGACACTCATGGGGGCTCGGACCCGGATTTCTTTCTGTAATGCTGATTTCCTTGTAAAGCTGCTTTGTGACAACACCTGTTGGAAAAAGCGCTATATAAATAAACTTTGACTTGACTTACTTATGCTTAACCGAGCTGTATTTAGTTTTAAAAACAGTAAGTAAAGGTTTTGGTTAAGCAAGCAAAGTTTAGTAAAGTTTATTTATATAGCGCTTTTTACAACAGGTGTTGTCACAAAGCAGCTTTACAAGGAGAAACGGAGAAACAAGAGAAGAGAAACAGGAAGAAACCTTGAGATGAACCAAGACTGAGAAGGGGAACCCATCCTCTTCGGGGCGACACCGGATAGTAAACATTGTTAGTACAAAAACTGGGAAAACACGTGGAGCAATAATTAATTTGATTAGTTTAGTTCACGCAGCAGCAGCAGCAGCATCAGTGGGCTCAGGTTGTGAGGGTGAGGTTTGCACGGCAAGCAGTGGCACCCGATCAAGGCAGAAGAGGCAGCAGCATCAGACGCACAGGATGGGCAGCTGTTCAACTCAGCAAAGGAAAGAGAGGAAAAACACACAGAGAGTCAGTTCTGCAATGGGTGATTGATTAATTTGACTAGTTTAAATGATTGATTAGTTCAAATGATTAATTTTGAATAGTTGATGTAGCAACAGCAGTAGTATCAGTGGGGTCAGGTTGTGAGGGTGAGGTTTGCACAGCGTTGTACAGCAGGAGGTTCAATGGGGGTCAAGCTGGTCCAGAGGGCTGGCCAGCAGTGGCACCCGATCAAGGCAGAAGAGGCAGCAGCATCAGACGCACAGGATGGGCAGCTGTTCAACTCGGCAAAAAGAAAGGAAAACACACAGAGAGTCAGTTCTGTAATGGGTGTCAGTTCTGTAATGGGTGTCAGTTCTGTAATGGGTGACTGATCACAGATTGCAGTGTTAGCAGAGCAGCAGAGACTCTGGCCGGTATAGAACTGACAGGGAAAACTAATTACCAAAGGCTTGACTATACAAGTAAGGTTTTAGCCTAGACTTAAACACTGAGGCTGTGTCTGAGTCCCGAACATTAACAGGAAGACTATTCCAAAGCTGGGGGGCTTTGTATGAGAAAGCTCTCCCCCCTGATGTAACTTTATTAATTCTAGGTACTAATAGTGAGCAGCACCTTGTGATCTAAGTAGGCGGGATGGTTCATAGTGAGAGAGAAGTTCACTCAGGTACTGAGGGGCGAGTCTGTTTAGTGCTTTATAAGTCAGTAAGAGAATTTTATAATCAATGTGAAATTTAACTGGTAACCAGTATAAGGTTGATAAAACTGGGCTGATATGGTCGAACTTTCTGGTTCTAGTAAGAACTCTGTCTGCAGCGTTCTGGACTAAAGTAATCCAAGTTAGTGTTTACTGTTTATACAAACTTTTGAGCAGATTCTTTGTTCCGAGAGTGTGAGTTCCCATCACCCAGGATTGTGTCCTCATTCATGAGCCCCAGGTGGGATTCTATAGCAGGATAATGCTGTGCTAGAGGTTTGAAGACCACATTTCCTTCCTCCACAAATAAGAGTGATTTTCCTCTCTTGTACGCTGACTGGCAAGTTCCTTCTAATAAGGCTTTGCTATGGACATGAACTTCATAAATCTAGTGCTCTCAGTCAAGTTCAGAGCAGAATAAAGAGAAACAATATGCCAAAGTGATGATTCGGAGAAAAAAGTACAGGTGCAGAAAGAGGACAGAACACATCTGTACTCCCATCAGCCATATAGAACAATGAAGAACTCTCAATGTAACGTTAAAGAAGGGATTTTCTGTGATATAAATAAAAATAAAACAAATACATACATTAAATAATATCTGCTTCTTTAGTAAACTATATATCATGTCACATTTATTGAAAAGGAACAACTTAGTTAACAAAGTATTCACAGCAGTTTCCATTGACAATTTGTCTATTTTTACCTGAAAACATATCTGTGACTGACTGCTGGAGACTCAAACATGGTGGAATCCACTGGTGATATTTGTAGAAACAGAATAAAATTTAATAATGATTATATAAAAGTGATGTATCAAATTGACTTGTGAGGCAATCTTGAAAATGGTCCTTGAGTAAAAATTATACTAGGTCATTATACAGATACCGCCCAGTAAAGAAGGAGAGTCTGCAGTGTAAATGTCTGCCTTCTTGTTTTCTACTGTCTCATGTTCCCAAGGTTCACTAATTAGTGGGGTATAAGGTGATGTAGATAAAGTCAGCTAAATCACAAGTGAAAGTGCATTCAGACGTCCTCATCAGCTCGTAACACTCAAAGTGTCACATCTGCCAACTGTAACTACCAGCTATTGTTTGAGTGGTAATCAATAACCAGTGTCTTCAGGGAAAAGTACAAGATTGTGTAAGTTTTTATGTGTGAGATACATCTGGAATACACTGATTAATTGCAAAATGTATTCTCAACCCTAAAATTCATTAAACAAAAATATTTTAAAGGTATGTTCATAAGTATCTGAAGAATACACTTGTATTTATCAGTCACTAAAAATCTTTTATTTTTGCTGCTAACTATTAAATGCAGGTTGGCAAGTTAATTTCAAATAAGTTACATTTTGTAAGTTTATTTTATTTGTCCTTTTGGTAGACACAATTAAAACATCTGTAGTTTTTGTTTATTTTTAAATAGAGATTGTCATAGTTTCTGTAAATTTGTAATTTTTTATAGATGACCTTATTCAAGTGTGTCAGCAATTCACTATTTGGCCACCAGAGGGCTCACTCTCCCGAGTACCCCTGTTCCCAAATCAAACCACCTGTACCTTATCTCCTTAATCAGTCACACCTTTAATACTCCTCCCATTCAGCCAGTCAGTGCAAAGTAATGCCAGTTCCTTTGTGTCTGACTACTGAGCGTTTGTTTTGTTTGTTTTGCTGGTATTTTAAACCTATGCCTGATCTTTTGGGATCTGCTTTTGCCTTTTGTCCCTTTTGCTCTGTCTGCCTGGCTTTTTTGGACTGATTTCTCCATTACGTCCTTTTTTGCTTTGCCTTTCGACATTGAGTTTTGGATTGCCCTGTTGTCAATAAATCTGCACATGGATCCTTCTCAAGTTTCAGAGTCTGCTTTGTCACAAAGTGATTTGTCAGCTAAACGTTTATACAGTGAGACATATAAAAATATTTGTATTTCATTATTATTATTATTATTATTTTTTACTACTTATTTTTGTATGTTATAATACAGCACTGACCCCTGAATGTTTCAAATACAGTGCTGACCCCTGAATGTTTCAAATACAGTGCTGATCCGTGGATGTTTCAAATACAGTGCTGATCCGTGGATGTTTCAAATACAGTGTTGACCCCTGAATGTTTCAAATACAGTGCTGATCCCTGGATGTTTCAAATACAGTGCTGATCCCTGGATGTTTCAAATACAGTGCTGATCCCTGGATGTTCATTGATTCTATTTGTGTCCAGTATAATGTGTGTTCACTGCAGACAAATAATAGTCATTCTGAACAGATTTGAATTGGAGTGAATGTATTTTGAATAAAAACTCATGTTTATCATGTTTATTATTCATGCAGATAGTAAAAACATTTCAGCCGTCTTCTAGTCAGAATGTAACACTGTCAGAAGAAAACCTTGTATTTCCATTTTTGTCGTTTTTCAGTTTTAGACATAATTTGAAAATGCTTTACATTGTGTGTAAATTTCATGATGAATGCACTAAAAGAAATGACCAAAAATGACTTGGAAAAAGTCTGGTTCCATTGACTTACATTAAAAGTAAAGTATGTTTTTTCCTTCTCCTGTAAAATTACCATTTTGGAGATACGAGGTTTTGTTCCGACAACAGCAATATTATTCACACATACATAATATAACTATATCCCATTTCCTAACTTACAGAGAATCAGTTATTCTTAAAAACAACATCTCTGTGATGTCTTTCACCACAATGTTATATACTTTACTGAGCACAAGTGCTGCTGAAGGTGATTCTGTAATTGCTGTTGACTGGATTTATTTACTGTATTCGCCGTCGTTTTTCTCCAGTAATGTATTTTTCATTGAACACTTTCATAGTCATCGGTTTATATAATTCATCTAGATCTTTATGAAAGTCAATGAGTTCTTCATCTTCGTAGTTTGTGGGTTCATCAGCTTCTTTATGCATAATGTAGGCACCAAATTTACATTTACTATTATTATCACAGCAGCAATACGCAGTCCAGAAGTGACTGGGCACATTAACCGTGCTGCCCTTCTTCAGTGTTTGTTTTTCTTTACTTGGCACAACTCCTGTTACTACATACGCTCTTTTTGAAGCATTCAGGCAGTCTGTTAAGTTTTTTCTCACTCTGTATTCCACTTTGCTGTACCACATCTTGTTGAAGTCACATCTCTGAGGTGCTGCATTGGTGAGGGTGAAGGTGCTCTCTGCAGCTTCATCAGAGTTAGTGTGGCAGAAAGGAAACAGGTGACCTTTATCATACCTGGAGTCTTCGTACTCTGAGTTGTAGGCTTGTCGGTTAATTTTCATCTGCTTTTGCAAGATCATCTCACCACCATTATTGTTGTTCTCAAGCTGTAACAGTATTAAGAGTAAGCTGGACCATTAACATTGTTCTCTGTGGTTACAGAACAAGGCATTAAATGCATGCATTTTTTCACAAATACACTGATTTAAGATCAGAAAAATCTTTAAATCTGAGTGCCAAGTTTCCATTTTATTATTTCTTCCCACTCATTTCTACTGTAGCTGTATATTTATATTGTGAATAAGTGTGATGTATTGGCTGCTGGTTAGCTAGATTAATGAAAGTCCTGTAAGGTTGAATGATGAGAGCACTTACGTTGTAAACATGCTGCCTTGACAACTGAAATGAAAACTTAAAAAGACTTCTCCAGCAGATGGTTTTATTAGATTAAATAAGATTATTTATTTAAACAAGCAACATTATCTACCAGCACAGTAAGAATGTCTGCACTAAACATACAATCTCTAAAAGTCTGTAGGAATTGGTTGAGCTGCGTTTCTCCACACCTGTCTGTCTGCCCGAACAGGTTTGTATATGTAATAACATTAAAGCCCTCTCGCTTGCAGAAGCCTGATCTGCTGTGTTCTCTGAGAGGGTTAACAGCTTCATTCTGTCACTATACTCTTAAAATATTCTTATGATAATGTCATTAAAAGAAATATTAGCTGTAGTGACTTATATTAGATATTTTGACTATATTGTGCTATGAAAAAAGCAGGTAAGGAAGAAAATGAAATCTTGGTGAAATCATAAATCAGAAATATTCTAAATCATGCATGTTCTTACCTGGGGTTCAATCATCCATGTTAAAACAGGCCTTTTTCCTGTACAGTCTGGTGTCCTTTCATACCGATATGCAGAATACACAGGAATCTTTTCTGCGGTGTCATACAGAGTCGCATAATGATACTTATTTTTGTATCTCTGACAGATCGGCACATAGCGACCCTGTGAGGCTGTTCCAATTTGTGTTCCAATTTTAAACTCTGGTGGTTCACCATTCAGAAAGAATTTTCCACAATCTACTACTTTTGTAAAGTTCTCCACCACCTCCCCCACAGCTCCCAGAGTGAGGAGCATCAGCACTGAAACCGACAGCTTCATCTTCAGAGAGAACCAGAGGAGAATGTTCACTCTTCCCTAACAGTCTGGTCTTCAGAGAGTGTCCTCTCCCAGCTTCAGATTGAGGTTATATATCCTCACTCTGGGAGGAGCTCAGGATAAACCAAACACTGAGGACTAACCTTATGAAACTTGCCATATCATCAGTGATCCATTCCTGGTGTCTGTGTGAGTCTCCTTCAATTGATTTAACTAATTGAGCGTGCATGTCCACAGGTGGTCAGTAACATGGATCAGTATGTGGAACTGGAGCTTTCCATGTGCTACCATGTTTCCTATCACTGTATAAAAAAACTCCATGCTACCTTTATTGTTGGATGCACTGACATACACTATATTTGAGTGACATCCCATTCTTAATCCATAGGGTTTAATATGATGTCGGCCCACCCTTTGCAGCTATAACAGCTTCAACTCTTCTGGGAATGCTTTGCACAAGGTTTAGGAGTGTTTATGGGAATTTTTGACCATTCTTCCAGAAGCGCATTTGTGAGGTCAGACACTGATGTTGGACGAGAAGGCCTGGCTCGCAGTCTCCGCTCTAATTCATCCCAGAGGTGTTCTATTGGGTTGAGGTCAGGACTCTGTGCAGGCCAGTCAAGTTCTTCCACACCAAACTCGCTCATCCATGTCTTTATGGAGCTGCTTTGTGCACTGGTGTGCAGTCATGTTGGAACAGGAAGGGGCCGTCCCCAAACTGTTCCCACAAAGTTGGGAGCATGAAATTGTCCAAAATCTCTTGGTGCTGAAGCATTAAGAGTTCCTTTCACTGGAACTAAGGGGCCGAGCCCAACTCCTGAAAAACAACCCCACACCATAATCCCCCCTCCACCAAAATTTACACTTGGCACGATGCAGTCAGACAAGTACCGTCTCCTGGAAACCGCCAAACCCAGACTCGTCCATCGGATTGCCAGACGGAGAAGCGTGATTCTTCACTCCAGAGAACACGTCTACACTGCTCTAGAGTCCAGTGGTGGCGCTTTACACCACTGCATTCGACGCTTTGCATTGCGCTTGGTGATGTAAGACTTGGATGCAGCTGCTCGGTCATGGAAACCCATTCCATGAAGCTCTCTACGCTGTTCTTCACCTAATCTGAAGGCCACATGAAGTTTGGAGGTCGGTAGCGATTGACTCTGGCGACCTCTGCGCACTATGCGCCTCAGCATCCGCTGACCCCGCTCTGTCATTTTAGGTGGCCTACCACTTCGTGGCTGAGTTGCTGTCGTTCCCACTCACTTCCACTTTGTTATAATGGACTCCTATCACGGTACCACGCTGGAATTCACTGAGCTCCTGAGAGTGACAGGCAAGGCAATTTTCTGACTGCAAGTGACAGAGAGCACGTCACTGCGAGTGACAGAAAGCAGCATAGCTTAGAGCTTCAGATCGAGCATCATTGTAAATGAAATTATTACCGATCACGATTTTGATGCTCTGTGCCTCACAGAAACGTGGATTAGACCCGATGAATACCTTAGTCTAAATGAAGCCACCCCCACAGGCTACAGCTATGTGCATAGCCCTCGTTTAAGTGGCCAGGGTGGAGGTATAGCAACCATCCATACTAAAGCTTTAGGCATGAGCCAGAAAGTAGGCTATAAATTCTCTTCTTTTGAAGTTCTTTTACTTAATATACTTGATCAAGGAACAAATAAAAATTCCTTTCTATCAAGTTTCTATCGAGTTTCTATCAAGTTTAATAACGTTTTCAAGTAAAATAATTATTGTCGGAGATTTTAATATCCACTTTGACAATCCTCAAGATGCACTAAGTAAGGCATTTATATCTATCATAGACTCTGTAGGTTTCACCCAAATCATAAAGGGGCCCACACACTACCACAACCACACTCTAGACTTAATACTGACCTTTGGTGTAGACATAGATAACTTAGCCATTCTCCCCCAGAGCACAGCAGTCTCAGATCATTACTTAATCTCATATGAAATTCGCTTTAGTGGTAATATGCGTTCATCACCATGTTATTGTGTTAAGCGGACAATAACTCCCTCCACAGATGGTAGCTTTATTAGAAACCTTCCCCAATTATCAGCTTCTGTCAGCTGTCTGTCTAATCCTACCGAGTTAGATACTATGACCAAGTTCTTAGAGGATACTTTTCAATCTACTCTAGATAGTGTGGCCCCATTAAAAAGTAAAATAGTAGGCAGAAAAAAATAGGCAGAAAAAACTCACCCCTTGGTATAATGAACATACTCGAGCTTTGAAAACAGACTGCCAGACAACTAGAGCAGAAATGGTGCCTGACTAAACTAGAAGTGTTCCAGTCCGCCTGGAGGGATTATAGCCTTATAGACTATAGAAGAACACTTACTGCAGCACGCTCAGCCTCTCTCTCCTCTCTCATAGAAAATAACAAGCATAATCCTAGATTATTATTTGGCACAATATCTAAAATAATGCAGAACAAATCAGTTACTGAACCCCAGATACCATTAGCCTATAGCAGCAATGATTTTATGAACTTTTTTAGTGATAAAATTGAAAAACATTAGACAGAAAATTCAGAATACACAGTTAAACTCTACAAACCTGCTTCCCCTTAATGCCAGCCTCAATCTTGAAAATATTATAATCCCTGCAGAGAGGCTGGAATCATTTACCTTACTTCAAGAAAATGAACTAGTTAAAATTGTTTCTTCCGCAAAATCATCTACTTGTATGTTAGATCCGATTCCTACAGGTTTACTCAAGGAAATTTAGCCAGAAATAACCAAGCCTATTCTCGTCAATAATAAACTCTTCTCTTAGCCTTGGATACATCCCAAAATCTCTTAAACTAGCAGTAATTAGACCGCTGATTAAGAAGGCTAACCTCGATCCCTGCGACCTATCTCGAATCTCCCCTTTATATCTAAGATCTTGGAAAAAGCTGTAGCAAACAATTAAGCTCCTATTTGCATAGAAATCATATACATGAAAAATTTCAATCTGGCTTTAGGCCACATCATAGTACAGAGACAGCACTAGTAAAAATTGTAAATGACCTTTTTTATTATTCTCTGACCAAGGAAATGTGTCTCTGCTAGTCCTCCTCAATCTTAGTGCGGCATTTGACAAATAGACCATGCTATCTTACTAGATAGGCTAGAAAACCTTCTAGGGGTAACAGAAATTGCTCTTTCCTGGTTCAGGTCCTTCCTCACTAATCGCTATCAGTTTGTTAATGTAAACGGAAAAGTAAAGTATGGGGGTTCCACAAGGCTCTGTTTTAGGACCTATGTTATTCACAATATATATGCTACCACTGGGCACCATTATTAGTAAACACGGCATACATTTCCACTGTTATACCGTTGAGACTGAGTTTTATATATCCAAGCGAATCAGATGATAAAATTAAACAAGATTGAGGACTGTATAAAAGACATAAAAGACTGGATGTGGAGTAACTTTCTCCTACTTAACTTGGATAAAACAGAAGTCCTGCTTCTTCGTCCAAAGCCTGCTAGAAACAAACTGTCTAACTTAACACTTAACAATTTCTCAGTTGCATCAAGCTCAAGTAAAAATATTGGTGTCATTATAGACCCTAATCTGTGCTTCGACACACATATAACTAATACTACTAGAACAGCCTTCCTGCATCTCTGCAATATTGCTAAATTGAGAAATGCATTCTCTCTACAGGATGCAGAAAAGTTAGTTCATGCATTTATTACTTCAAGGCTAGATTACTGTAATGCCCTGCTGGCTGGATGTCCCAGCAAAAACCTTAACAAACTTCAGCTGGTCCAGAACGCTGCAGCCAGAGTTCTTACTAGAACCAGCAAGTTTGACCATATCAGCCCAGTTTTATCAGCCTTACACTGGTTACCAGTAAAATTTCGCATTGATTATAAAATTCTCTTATTGACTTATAAAGCTGTAAACGGACTCGCCCCTCAGTACCTGAGTGAACTTCTCTCTCACTATGAACCATCACGCCTACTTAGATCACAAGGTGCTGCTCACTATTAGTACCAAGAATTAATAAAGCTACATCAGGGGGCGGAGCTTCTCATACAAAGCCCCCCAGCTTTGGAATAATCTTCCAGGCAGTGTTCAGGACTCAGACACAGCCTCAGTCTTTAAGTCTAAGCTAAAACCCACTTGTTTAGTGGAGCCTTTGGTAATTAGTTTTCCCTGTCAGATCCAGACCTGCCGGAGTCTCTGCTGCTCTGTAACACTGTAATCTGTGATCAGTCACTCTTTACAGAACTGACTCTCTGTGTTTTCCTTTCTTTGCTGAGTTGAACAGCTGCCCATCCTGTGCGTCTGATGCTGTTGCTGTTGCTGCTTCTGCCTTGATCGGGTGCCCACTTCTGGACTGGCTTGACCCCCATTGAGCTTCATGCTGTACAACGCTGTGCAAACCTCACCTGCATGAACTGACCCTTCCGATGATGCTGCTGCCTAAACTAAAACTAATCTAATTAACCATTTGCTCCACCTGTTTTCCCAGTTTTGTACTACAATACTTTATACTAGTGCTGTTTGCTATCCGGTGTCAACCAGAGGAGGATGGGTTCCCCTTTTGGTTCCTCTCAGTGTTTCTTCCTCTTGCTCTTAGTGAGGTTTTTCCTTGCCACTGTCACCATTGGCGACGCTCATGGGGGCTCGGACCCGGATTTTTCTGTAAAGCTGCTTTGTGACAACACCTGTTGTGAAAAGCGCTATATAAATAAACTTTGACTTGACTTAATGTGTTAATGTCTTCATACCAAGGTTCCAATGAAACGTCACAGTATGCAAATCAGTCAAACAACGTTACCGCCCCCTGACGACGCCCTACTAGCACCACACTCATAAATATGAAAGCACAGGAACCGAGAGTGAGGAGAGAACCACACTCACGCTGAACTAAATACCCACAGCACCACCTCACAAAGACAGCGATATGCCAGCTGTCTGTACCAGCTGTAAATAACCCAGTTAATCTGAGCTTAGCTTGTAATAAACATGTTGGACCAATTGTGAGGAAAAAAGCTGCTGGTGTTCGATTCACGTTTCCCTTCTTAACTCAGACCCTCGAGCATGACT